AAAAAAAAAAAAAAAAAAAAAAACACAGGGCTACATCTCCCACAAGAAATGGTCCCCCCGTCGATAAACGTTTTTCCCCAGAAAGTAAGGCGCTTCAGCCTTTGGTCTAGATCTGGAAAAGATGATGCCAAGAGAGTTGAAGAAACGATAGACCAGATAAAAATGAAGAGAGAACTGATTGACGGATTCACCCAGATGATCGAGACAGGATACAAAGAAGAATGAGAAAGGACATGGAGAAAAGCGCAAGTAAATCCAGGAAAGAAAGAAAAAAAAATTCAAACTGTGCTGGAAAGCGTTGAGCGAAACACCTTGGGAAAAAGGTGAAGTAGCAAAAATCCAGGGGGATAGCGACTGGCCTAGCTCAATTGGTACACCCACAAGCTGTTGAAACGCAGACCTGAGTTTGAATTCCAATGCAGCCAGATGAGTGAAAAATAACAAAGATGATACCACAGGGCTTTTAAAAAAGAAAAGAAAAAAAAGAAATCCAGGGGAACAAGCTAAACTAAGACAAGGGGAGAAAAAAGTCAATCTCTTTTTTTTCCTGGGGGAGGGGGGGGGGGGGGGGAGAGAAGGAGGAGGGAAGGAGAGGATTCCTTTATTGCAATCAAGAACAACAACAAGAAGAGAGGCTGGGAATCCTCACAAAACAAGGAGAGAAGAAAAGGAAAGCGAAAAAAACAAAACAAAAAAAACAAAAGGGAAAGCGGAACATATTGTGGAGGTGATTTTGGGAGTCGGTTGATGACTTCATAGTACATACTCACCAAATAACACCCCACATCCGTCCATTGCAGGGACAAGGACACTCCCTTGCAAATTTCTCAGCATCACTCTTGGGTAATGCTCTGGCAATCGTGTCATCGTAAATGTCTGCACGTAGCAACAGGTACCAAATAAGGATTTTTTTTTTTTCTTTCTTTTTTAGGTACCAAATAAGGTGATACAACCATTAAATCATTGATAAGGAAAAAAAGCCATCACAAGTGATTTTTTTGGAAAAAAAAAAAAAAAAAAAAGCCATCAGATGATTAGCAAAAGTAGAAACGCAGGATCTGGCAAATCATAGTTGAATTACAGTCTATACTCAAGTGGAATCTATTCATGAACACACTTACAAAGCTCACCACTACTGCCTTCACCCGACCAGAATGCAAGGTCATTATCAATGTATCTAGACTACAAGGTGTCTCAAATACAGCTACAGTTCACCGTGCCTTCTATCCGGATGAAGACAGTAAGAATGAAGGTTATGAAACCACGGACTTTCTATCAGGAAAGGGTAATCACTTAACTACAGTCTTCCCCCGAACATAACGCATATGGATTGTATTCGGGTGTTCGAAAAAAGTCAATCACTCAAATAGAACGCATATGCGCGGTAGGCAAATATTTTGGGTGTTCAAATAGAACACATGCGCTGTTCCGAATAGAAAGCAACCTATGCATTGTATTCCTTTACAACGCATGTGCATTACTTTCGGGGGAAGCGGTACCAGTGCCTCGCCGTTCTAATATGGAAAATCGGAATGAATCTTCCCACGTTTGCGGGAAGATCCCACGTTTGCGGGAAGATTCATTCCCTTTTTGCAAATAAAGACAGCTGTGCACACACACACACACACACACACACACAC